AAAAAGAAAACGTAATGCGTGTTTGTTTTTTTCCCCCCCCCGTTGTCTGAACTCAGAAACAAACTGGAAAAAATGACAAAAAATAAGGATTTTTAACATGTTCTAATCTCAACATTATATTAGAAAGATGGATAAATAAATTGTTTTAAAATATAAAATTAAATTGATATTTTCTGTAGCCACAAAAGGCAGGTAATCTCCATTTGTGGTTGAATCGCTTTACTTTATTTCCATATATCAAGATTCCTTAAAAATACAATTATTACTGTATAAAGGGCACCATTACCTGAGACGGGAGTAGCTGAAGCATAGCCATAAACAGGCGGCACATTCAGTTGGAAATGTGATTGGGGAGAAAAGAAAAAAAAAAAATAGTTGTAGGCTGCGTGCTAGCTCCCAGCAAACCTGTTTGTTTTTAGACTTGCTCGTCCCTATTTTTAAATATTGGCCTCCTTGCTCCATAAGTCCACTCAAATTGGAGAAACAGACTGACCGTGGCCCCAATGCTGCAAGCAAATACTTGTATTTATGTGAAGACTCATTTACGTGAGGGTCTGCTTGCATGGAGCAGTTTGTTGGATCAGGGTCTTGCAGGGAAGGTATAAAATGTACTCTGTCTGCAAAGTGTTCTACAGTACTGAATACATGAAGTTAAACAACCTGGATGGGAGAAACAGCTCTATCAGTTACTGGGATCAAAGGATTAGGTAAACATTTTCAGACAGATGCAGGCTTTAAGCCCATGTTTCTTTCATTCAGAAAGTCTCCGCTACTCATCTGGGGAGTCAAGTTTGAGACCAGACAAAGCCTAATTGTCTTACATATTGAGTACCCCCAACACAGCCAAGGTCACTGGGAAATGCAGTGTTCAGCAACACAGGAATATATCAGGCCCAAGAGGTCTAAACCTGGCTACTGAAAATGGCTGCTTATGAAAATGTTGACCTCTGTATCTCTGACTTTTCTCCACCCTCAAGAAAGGGGTAATATACTTGTCTACTTCAGAGATAGGCTCTGAAACGTAATCGTCTGCAGAGCACTTGGAGATACTGAATAGAGCACTGAATTGAGGCTTGAGAAAGCCTGGGTCCTGTTTCAGGTTCTGCCATTGATCTGCTAGGCAAGCCACTTCTTCTCTCTGTGGCTCCATTTTTCCATCTGCCAGGTGAAAATGATGATGATGCTGTCCTCCTTGGGAAAGCATCCTGAGACTTAATGATGAAAAGCTGACAAAAAGCTAAATACTATGATTATTGAGAGAGAAGCATTTAAGCGTAAGTTATAATAAATGGATCCAAGACAAAACCTTTTCCCATTAATATTAGTTGCAAAATTCTTGCTCTTCCATTGAAGCGCAGGGAATTTGCAGAAAAATGAAATGCAAGCCGTGAACACTCAGCGAGGTAAGAACGAAGGGGAGACTTCCCCTAACACAGGGATTCTGTGCACAGCCTAACGACAGCGGGATCAGTTCTGATTAACTCTGAAAAACAAATCTCCTATTTCCTCACTGAAAGACAACTTTTAAATATTTAATTGCTGTACATACTGTAGAATGACAGCTCTATATATGAAGATACAACAGGAACTTGTTCTGGGTACGCTATATTATCCCCTTGTGGAAGGATCTCCCTTAGGTCAAACGGATATCAGGCAACATCTTTTCTAGAGCAGATAGTTGCTGCCCCATAACCCCTCAGGCCTCATCTTGGCCTGAATGCTGTTGATCCTTCTGTGACAGTTCACAGGCTCCCTTAAATGCACCAAGAGGTCCAGCAGCTAATAACCAGCTTCATTCAATTCCCAGTCACATTATTATCCAATCTGCCAGATGCATTAATATTCAGCGGTGAAATGGGGGGGGGGTAGGGTACTGGGGGAGGGGGAACACAGAGAGGAAGAGGGGAAACGAGCACCAAGCTGGTGTCATCAGGAATCCTCTCTTACAGTCAGCTTGAAAAACAACTAAATTTGAGCACCCTGTTGACAGGGGAGTGTCCCTAAATAGCCTCGGCATTAACTTCTACTCCAATTTGTAAACAGGGCACAGGAGGGCTGAATGAGGGAGAAGACGCAATGCTTTGCCAGACACGCTCCTTACCTTTTCTCTACACTGAGCCCAGTTCAAGGGCTTGGTCCTGCTGAGTGCTAAGCACCCTCCGCTCCTCCTGCAGTTGGCAGCTGGGGAAGGTACCTAGCACCCTTTTGAAGCAGGCCCCAAGTAGCTAACATTATTGATCTCCAGAGGTGTCATGGGCCAGTTCTGAGCCCTGAAGGGGCAGCGCACAGTGCAGGGGCAGTAGCTGGGGTTTCACAGCTGCACCAGAAGATATTGCCTCCCTTTTTTGCTGCCAATACATGTCTTGAACAGCGATTTAAGCACCAATTTTTCAGCATCAAAAATTAAGTCAAGAAGGTTAACCCTCTTGGATTCCCCACTCCCTTCCCTTCCCTTCCCTTCCCCTCCCCTCCCCTCCCCCACACACCCATAGCACCCTGCTTCTGCCTGCTGCTGTCCCTGCATTATTTGCTACCCCCACCCAGGCACTGCCAAGCCCGTCACTGCTCCCAGTGTTCCCCAGCTGTGGCAGAGCCAGTGCGGGAGCTACTGTACAGAAAGTGCAAGATGCTGGGGGCAGGGTGAGGCACCCCAGTCTGTTCCAATCCCTCCCCACCATATGGAAGGCCCAGGGCTTGTGTCCTTCTCGCCACCACTAGATAAGCTATTGTTCATCTCCCTCTTGAAAATGGAGACAATATCAGAACCTTCTCAGCTCTGCCACACGTTTCTACACTACTTGGTACTTTGGGTCTGCCTTTCCTATATTCCTGACTGTTGCCCTGGACAGACCGCTGTCCTGTCCTGCTGCTCCTGGATCACCGTTCTAGCTCTGCTTCGCATAGCCCAATAGGCAGGATTCATGTTGCACCCCATGTCTGTATTTCTCTTGCGAGTCAGGACTGGAGCTCCATCTTTCTCTAGGAGAAGCTTCCTATTTTTTTCCTCTCTCCTAGGCAGTCTTTGAACACAGGTTCACCCCTCTCTTATATTCTTCAGCATCCTTTAGCAAACAGAAGTTTCTTTTATCTTCCCTCTTTGTTGATTTGATGCTGCGAATAGCAATTGATCTAGCTGAAATCTATTCAGCATTTTTAAATACTGAAACCCACTACCCGAACTGAGTCCTATAGAAGTGCAATATGTAGTAGTAGTAGTAAAGGAGATTTTTTGCAATTATTTTTGACAGATAAAAAGGCGCTGGTTCAAAATCAGTGCCCTAAGATAAAAACAAAAAAAACCCAAAAACAAACCAAAACAAAAACCAATTCTGGTAGAGGCCTGTAGATGAGGTCTTGTGGTGACTGGGCTGCAGGTCTTTTATGGTCTTCAGCCCAGCCTCAGGAGGGGCTGTGGGTGGCAGGAGAAAGCCACCCCTGTTAAAACTTCCCTGTGAAAGAGATGCTTTTTGAGGAATATTGGGAACTGACCATGCAGTATCTAGTAGAAATCAGCCCCTCAGGTTGTAGTGTCCAAATGCTGCTGCCGTCTGATGCGTGCTGGGGGCCTCTGAAGTTCTCTTCTGTTCCCACTGCGCATGTGTCCATCCCACCAAAATGCTCTTACAAAACTCTAAATTATTAAATAGTCCCCTACCCCTTACAACATTTAAATGTAGAAAGATCTAGAGATCAATGGGGTATGGAGGCTGAATTCCCTCTTTAGAGGACTGACAGGACCACGTGGGGATAAACTTTCCCTGATGCCACCCTCCCGCCTTACTCCTACTTCTTGTTGCATTTACACTAAAGGCTCTGGCTTCATTCAAACAACTTCCTCCTGGAGCAGGGACTCTGACAATTACTAAAACAGTCCGATTTTCCTCAGTCTCGAGGGAGCAACGCGCTTCGAGCTTAGGGCTGCCCCAGCTCAAGGACCCGCTGAGTTACGACTCGGGTTAGTAAGAGGCGCTGGCTCCCTCCGACGAGCCTGGTTGCAGCTAGGCATAGACAGTAGTTTCACAAGATACATCAGCTTGAGCTAAGTCGACAGGGCGCTACAGACTCGTCTGTCTTCCCCCGTTACACCCAAATAAAAGCCACCGTCGGGGCTTGCCCAGCCTGGCCACACGCGTCACGTGAATCAGCTAAAGGCATAAAGTCAGTGGCTTTAGACCCGGCGAGGCTGCACTCGTTTCCTAGTCAAGTGGCGTGAGACGCCGTAGTTCAGGGAGGACTAGAACGGGGATTAACGGGGCTTTGCCTTATTGCATTATTTTCCCCCCCTGTTCGTACGAGCTGCCCCGGCTCTCGAGTCCTGCCCGCTCCTAACGGGACTAGGTGCAGGGGGCGGCCGCGGCGGAAAGACCCTGCGAGGCCGCGAGCCGC